CAATCTGACACATCTCGTAGGCTGCGATTTCTCTCCTAAGTCATAAATACCAAAATGAGCTTCGTGGATTCATTAGCTGGTTCTTGACTCTCAGTGTAACACCTTTCTAGCAAAACTTGAAAGACAAGAGCAGATTATCCCTGTGGAGGTGGGAGGGGAAGGTTCTTAGCGTTTTGGGTGAGCTCTTTGGTTGTGTTGAAATTGGGCGCTGTCTGGTATGGAGGGTCAGGGTGTGGGCCAGCTACCTTAAGCAGAATCCCATCCGGTGTCTAGTCTGGCTTTAAGTGAAAGTGTTTCTGGGAGATTGCAGCCTCTAGTACAGGTGGCCGAAGTTTTGGACCACTTTGACTGTTAGGTTTTAGTTTTGTTTGTTTGTTTATTTGTTTAATATTTGCATTGTAATATCATCTTTTAGCTGCACCTGCCTCTCTGACTCAAACGAGTGTCTACTCTCTGGAGCCACACAGTATAAATCTAATCCCTCTCACGTCACTTTCTTTAGAAGGTAGCCCATTTTGTGTTAGTAGAATGTCACTTTCACTGCCTAGTTCCTTGAACTAGTGCTGTGTAGGCATTTCACACAACCTAGAGTCACTTGGGGAGAGAGTCTCAATGAGGGATTTTCTAAGTAAGGCTGGCCTGTGAGCATGTCTGTGGAGGACAGTTATAGCTGCCTTAATTGATGTTGGAAGGCCTGGTCTGAAAATGGGCTGTGATATTTCCTGGGATTTGGCCTGGGACTATGTAAGAATAGCTGGCTGAGCAACATGCGTTTGTTTCTGTGCTCTTGAGATGTGGTGTGAGCCTCTCCTTCAAGTCCTTGTGATGTTGACTTTCCTGCAGGGATGGTTTCTCCCATCATTTGCTTTTTCATTAGGGTGTGTTATCACAGCAACAGGAACGGAACCAGGGAATGGGCAAGACTGTGTCTCTCACACTGAAACAGTCTCTCTTGGAGGGAAGGAACTTAGGAAACTTACCGGTCGTAAGTTTAGAAAATGACAAACTTTTCTCCCTAGTGGAGCTTGGTGGGGCTGACTGCAAGTTAGCCAGGGAGCTCCAAGGATTCGGCTTTGAGAGTGGGCGGGGGTCTCGTCATGTAGCATGGACTTTCATGATATGCCATTACCTGGGAGCTGCCCATGGGCCTGTATCCGACGTGAGCTCACTGGTTTCCTAGTAGACTAAGGCAGAAGTGTTTCTTTGTCCTATGTTTGTTCATGTCTTCCCGGGAAAAGTCATAGGCCAGTTAGCAACATGAGTGAATCACCCTTGAAAGATGGAAATACTCCTGTGATACAGGCTCGGGGCATTCATGCATCTTGGATGGGCACTAGGTCCCACCAGGCTGTGCATGCAAGCACATCTTAAGATGTGCGTGGTCTAAGTTGAGGTGAATGAAGACTGCTGTGGTTGAGATCTTGAATGTCTCCTAAAGATCTATGGGTTAAAATCTTGGTCCTCAGGGTGATGGGAATTTTAGGAAGTGGGGCCTTGTGGGAGCTCCCCAGGTCACTGAAGAGAACTCTGAGACCCCAGATTCTTCCTGTTTCTATTTTGGTTTTTGGCCATGAGGTGAACAGTTTGCCTCATCAAGTGCTTCTGCCATGAGGCACCATCTCTCCACAGGCAGTCTACAATGAGGCCCGTTCGCCACAGGCTGGAACCTATGAGAGTCTGAGCCACCCTTTCCCAAAGAAAAGCTACAAACACCACATATCAAAGACCCCCCACATCTTTTCTTGTTAATTTTCTCTTGTATTTTATTTTAAGTTTTAGAAAACTTGCCAAGGATTAATGGGGTCTGTGGGTCAGGGAGCCTCAATTCTTCTTTTGTGGAAATTATGAGAAGGATCGGATCACTGTCTGCCCTGAGCCGCAGCTTAGAAATAACTGAGTCACTGCACTTGCCCTGACAGTCCTGTTCGTTTTTATTTATTTTTTGGTGAGGGATCAGACATGGGAGAAAATTTAATGAGACTAGCACACATTTTGCAGAGGTGTGAGTCTCAGCTGAGTGGCACCGGGTGGTGTGTCTCAGTGGAGTTCACCTGCCGTGGGGAACGGTATGCAGGGGTACAGAAGTAGAGAAGTCTGTGTACTGGCAGCCCAGCCAAGGTTCTCTGGGGCTGGGCTGGGAGGCAGGGAGTGGCCAAGTCAAGAAAGGCCTTGACCCTGGTGTGGGAAGGTTGTACGGAGGTGAATGGATTGGGCTGGCTGCTGTTTGGAGTGAGGTTGGGAATGGAGAGACTAACAGCAGGAGTCTAGCCAGGAATCTGCCACAAAATTTCAGGCAAGAGATGCCAAGGGTCTGATCTAAAGTGTCAGGGGCCAGATGTGGGCTGATTTGAGAGCAGCAGGAAAAGGGACTGGTGGGTTTTAGATACTGAGGCCTTGTGGAAAGAAGGGGTGCAGAAGTAGAGGAGGGGTACACTGGGAGGGAAATCTGGATGGGCTTCAGCTCCTGGCACAGAAGTGTGGGGATGCCCCATCTTCCCATAGCTGATTGGGAGTGGATTCATCCTCAGAGGGGTATCCCAGAGCAAAGAGCATGGGGCATGGCACTGGACCACACAAGAGCGATTGTCAGGTTGATGGGCAAAGACAGCTAACTAGGCATCTGTGCCTTGTTTGGTAATGCTCCTCTGGTTATTTTCAGCTAATATGGTCCTAGAGAGAATCTGAAATTCTCAGGCTTGCTGTATGTAGTGGAGAGCTTGGAGTGACTGTGGCTCCTGAGGCAGCCTCAGCTCTGAGGGACGGATCAGGAAGAACCCAGGTCTGGGCATCCTACTGGGTTCTTGATAGTCCAACTTCAAACCCAGAAGTTAGTCTAATTATAATGGCCCCTTTGCCACTCTCCCTCTTTCTTAGCAACAAGCATGCAAGGAAGGCTCTTCTCCAAACAAAACCACAAGCGTAGCCTGCCACCACTCACCACGTTATTAATTCCCAACTTAACATAAAACAAATGCTCATGCGAAGCAGTTAAACTCCTCCAAGAATATTTATTTTGAGTGACTAAACTATACACTTCCTGTTCAGCGCTAAGGAAAATTGGTCTGTATTATTCCAGGGAAATGTCAAGACCACTAAGTGTTGTAGCTTTCTGACCTGGGTTCTGGTGAACAAAGGCCCCACATGGTTCTCATAAAAATATACATCAGAGATGGCTTCAAACTGAACGTCAAACTTAGTTAAAGGCACAAACCCCCTCAAAGCTATTTTGAATATCCAACAGAACGACCGAACGCACATCAGCATGAGTCATTTTCCACTCCTTTGGGCGCCTCATGGTGCAGGGGATTTAGCAACTTGGAGTGTGTTATTCTAAGAATGGACGTTGGGCCCCCCTTGGCTCTGTCAGAATGACCTCTGCCAGCTGTCAAGAGACTCTGGAGAAACTCTCCCTGCTTTTAAAAAGAATATATACAACCACTTTAAAAAAACATTAAAAACAACACCAATGTTCTCACCTAAGCTGATCTGGGGGATAAACTGGGTACACATGGAGTAAGAAAGGTGTAAGTCGCAGTTCAACTAAACATGAATATGTATTTGCTTTAATTTAATTTTTTTTTTTTGTGGTATGCCAAGAATCATTTAGGTAGTTTTTTTTTGTGGAGCAGAAGGTGGGGGTTGACAGGGTAGGTGGGATTAAGCATTGTTTAGTTGCTTAAAATCTCAGTTCCATGATGTGTTTGTGTACGCAAGATCTGAATGCACCAACTGGTAACTCTTTACAGTACCCTACAAATGTCAGGCTCTGCCTAGAACAGGATGGAGGCCTCCTTCCTGTCTTAGCCTGCAGAGGATAAGAAGGGCACAGTGGAGAGGGGAGGCTGGTCTTTGATGGTTTATAATCATAGCAAGTGGTTTGTGACTTGTCATACTTTATAGTACATGTTTTATTTCTGAAATGGACTTTTGTAACTTCTTTGAATGTCTCCAAAAACTGGATAGTATTGAACAGGCATTTTAGGGTTAAACTTCCAAGGATGAAGGCTTTTTGGGGTCTGCAAGTAATGTTATGTGATACACATACCTGTGTATTTGCATATGAAGGCCTGAGGTCACCTTGGTGTCTTCTTTCTCTAGCATCTTGTGAATCTTACATTCACCCCTCTGGCTGGGATTACTGATAGAGGTCTCGTCCACCTAACTTTTATGGGTTCTGGGCATGTGAACCTTGGTCCTCATATTTGTATAAACACTTGACTATTGATCCATAGCCCTAGCCTCTGGTTCTGCGTTCTTGATACATTCATGGAGGTGGTTGTGAGCTGTCTGATTTTTTTCTGGTTTTTCTGATTTTTGCCTCTTGGTGCCTAGTGTCTTTGCTAAGAGACAGAATGGTAAAAGCTGCCAGGGTGCCCTTGAATCAAAGACCTCTGTTCAAAGTGCTGCCTCTGGACTGGGGTTTGGTGCAGAAGTCCTGGCTTGCTTAGCATGCACAGAACCATGAATTCCAGCATTAGTAACTGCAAAAATAAACGCAATCCCCTGCCCCAGTCCTCAATGCGTTGGTCCAGTCCAAAAGCATTGGTTTGTTCAAAGGGCCTTAAAATTAAACTGTTCTGAGGACCTGATTTTTGTTTGTTTTTTGAGACAGTGTTTCTCTATGTAGCCTTGGCTGGCCTGGAACTCAGAGATCCACCTGCGTTTGCCTCCTGAATGCTGGGATTAAAGGTGTGTGTCACCACTGCCTGGGTTGAGGACCTGAATTCAAAAGGCACTTTAGGGTACTGTTCTGTAGACAAAAAATTAGATTGAGAATATTTTGCCAACTGCTTAAGACAGTAAATGACATGAAATGCCGTATTTTGTGCTGGATGGTGTACAGATTGAATGTTCTGCATTATTTGCTGACATCTGAAGCCTTACACGGAAGGCCGAGAGAGGGGAGCTATCACCTAATGTAACCTTTTTTGGTCCCTCACCTTGTTAACCACTAGATGCTTCCATATCCAACGCAAGGACAACATAAAGGATTTTAAAAGTTACCGGGTGGGCATATCAACATTTATTGAAATACTGGAAAAAAGTCCATTTTATCAAGAAATTCCTGGCAAGAACTGACACGACAATATGTATTTCACTGATACAGTAAGAGAACGTCAACAAGTAAGCGACCTTACACTCTGAACACTGCATGGGTCCAAGGCAGTTGCAGAAGAGCCGTAATCCAAAGATTGAGACGTTACAGATTGTCCGTTTACAGAGACCAACTACAGGAAACCCAGCTCAGCCGAAAACCTTCCCACTCCAGTCTGCCTTTATTAGCAAATCCTAGAATCCAGAAGGCAGCATCAAGTTACAAACTGGCTACCAACTGACCTCAGACAACTGGCCAGCTCTGAAAGGGCCCCGGATGCAGGGCCAGTACACACCTGCTCAACTGCTTTTGTCCTCGGTACGGGTGTGACTGTTGGCTGTCTTTCTAACCATTCTCAGGGTAAAAGCTAACTAGGTGAACAGCATACCAGTATTTGACAATTTTTTAGGCTTAATATTCAGTGGGGGTCGGGTAGGATACTATATATTTAAAATAAGGAAACATGGATTTTTTTTCCCAATGTTCAAAAAAATCTCCAGTAGCCATCCTTCTAGCCACATTGACAGACAGGACAGAGCTCTCTCATTAATCACAGGTACCACCATTCCTTCTCCATGTGCCTTTAACCAACTTGGTTTTGAGTTGGAAGGAACGGCCATGTTTCTGTTTTATTTAATGCTTTGGATCTGACCTCTGATTAATGACTTTGAATCCTTCTTAGAACCCTGAAGACAACACTGCGAGTCAATGCCCAGCACAGCTACTGTGCATCCCTCGTGTGGATATGAAAGGTGACTAATAAATGTAATAAAATAATCTTCTTTGTACACACTGAAGTAATAAACTAATATCTTTGGTATACAACTTACAATGTTTGGAAAGGAAAACCAGGTAAGACTCTATCTTGTTAACATGACTTAAAAACAAGAAAAAGCTACAAGTCGCGTGATTTACAATGGACAGTAAATAAACTACAGAAGGATTATGGGAATTTCTGGACATGTGATCAAGTGGATGGATTTACTCATTACGACCCTTCTATACCCCTGAACTATGTTCCACTAACTTGAAGACATGCTATAATAAACACATATATTTGGTTTCTTCCGTCTTCGCTCTCTCTTATACAAAGGGTAACCCAAGGAACAATAAATTAGCATCATAATTGTCTACAGTTGAAACTATGATATACAATATAAATAAACTACTCCAAAACCAGAAACATTTGTGGAAAAAAAATTAAGGGACTGGGAGATTTTTCTACAAGTGATTGTGCTGCTGATAATCTCAACAAATTAAAGACGAAATGAGAATCCCATTCTTGATTTTAGTGTCTCACGACATACAATAATTAAGCACTGTTAAAAATAATTACTAATCAGAAAAATAACATTAAAGAAATTACTGATTTTTTTTTTTATCTTGTAATTTCAGAGTCTCCCCCCCAACTCCCCCCAGGACCTAAAGAATGTAAACACTATATTGTTTGACTTTAAAGTATTAATACTTTATTTTCAACAAATGTTGATCCACATCTGCACAGCTCCCTTTTAGGACCAGGAAGTAAGGCAAGGCTTCCATACCTGTGGCATCACATGCTAATACTGACAGCATTGTTTGGAGACTTTGTTTGCCATCTCTGTCCTCCAGTATTTTGTTCTACAGCAGGCTTTGGTCTATGACTTAGAGAGGCCAGTATCACTTTCTTCTGTTCTCCACGGCAGGAGATTGACTTTCTTGTCTTTGCAGGCCATTTGCAAACTCACTGCTTTTGTACCCCAGGTTTAGGTAGGAGATGCTCAATCACAACTACAGTGAACCTCAAGTCAGTCACCTTCACAGCTCAACCTTTCTTTCATTTGGCATTGCTTAACATGCTTTGATTTTGCGGCTCCTTAGCCGGTGACTACTTGACATCCAACAAAAGATGTTTAATGTTTTATTTTTAAGCAAACTACAAATCTTGATGACTAAACAGACAGATGTATACTAACAAGCCTCTTGGCCAAAAATTCTTATGAAACCCAACCATGCCAAAGCCACATTTCAGCAACAATAGCAGAAATAAGATCTAACTTGCTTGTTGGAAGTATTTGCTTAAATTTGATTTCCCTTAATATTAACTAATGCTTATATAGAAGAGGGATACTGCCTGCTTTTTTTTTTTTTAAATTACGAACACACGACAAAACAAACTTCAGAACATATTTAAAATAGCAAGCTGACATATTTATACATTGTTCTTATTAGCTGTTGGCAGGTCTAAGACACAGACACTCAGAATTCATGATTTAGTGGAGCTACTACTGGGTGTGGCTGAACACAAGTCCTTAATATATATCTTTAGGGCTCACAGGTCAGAAGGTGTAGGGCCTTCTGGGAGGAGGGAGAGGGCTGCCAAGGCACAGCCCGAGTATTCTTGAGAGTTGTTCAGCTCACCACGGAGGAATTCTGGACAAGCCCAATTAATAACACAGATCAATTGCTGAATTTCTTAACAACAGATCAGTTTAAATATACAAGAATCGTTCCATCTATTTTTATTCTGATGTGGTATTGGACTCCATCTGTGAGTCCAACCCACCCCATTGCAATGTCTTTCATATGAATCCTTTGGGGACGTGCAGCCTTTGATTCACAGTTTGCAGTACAAATACCCTGATATATCATTTACTTGCTACTAAGCATTTGATTATTATGCTTTTTAAAATTCAGTGTCTTTAAACCAAGTTTGTAATTGGCGTTGCTTGGAGCAGTTCAGAGTATTGTCTTCCTCCTCTTCTCCCTTCAGTCTCTCTTGCTAGAGCAAGCTTCTAGGGATGCTAACTCAGGCTCTTTTTGCATGCAGCATTTCGATGAGAAGGTTGTTATAGGGCACATCCCCATTCAGGTGCTTGTAGTAGAGGTATTCTTCTGCCTGCATGCTGATTGCCCGGATTTCTGGTAATCGAAGAAGCAGCTGTCCAAATTTCTCAGTTTGTTGTGGGTAGTTGCAAACCGTATAGTCCAGCAGGGCAGCATTCACCTGTTCCTGGACCCCTTCAACCAGCTGGAAGTTCTCAAGATTCTTGACATCTGCATTTAAAAAACAAAGACAAGATTTCAATGGCAAAGTTTTCTCTTAGACTCCTCTCTACTAAAGCAATGCTCAATTCATGTCTTTTTCTCTTGATGTAAAAGTATATTTTATATGCTGTTGAATATTCAGTAAACCTCACTCACCAAGCTTCCAGGGAAAAGGATCGCAAAAGAGCTTTGCCAGACTGTCTTGTTGAAATTCTGCATGTACCTCAAATCAATTAGACACCAATGGATTTTGAGCAAGGTCAACTCTTCTCATATCTTATAAAAGGAAAGGCTTGAGGATTCTTAAAGTAGAAGGATCATAATATATTGCCAGCAAATGAGTCCCTAGAGAAAGACCTATCTTAAACCAGTATATTACACAATTCATATAATTCTGTATTAATTTTTCTGACCCAAGGTGAAATCTGTGTCCAGGGTGTGATGTAGTTAATTCTAATAAAAAGTGACAGGGTTCTTGTTTCTGTTTGACATTTTCTAAATGATTCTGAAAGCCTTTGACTTGTCTAGCCTATGCTAATGAACCATCTGGTACACTCCAGTGACTGCCAACTGAAGGTTCACTACTGGGAACTCTCTCAAATATATATCTCAGTGACTAATGATCTTTATCAAATGAAAGCCTTGTCCTTTAGGTAGAATGCAAGCCAGGACGCTTGGTGCCCTTTAACCTGAATGTGGTTCCATAAGTCTGACTTTTTTTTCTCCTGGTCCTGGGTCACCGGTATGAAGAAGCTGGACATGAGTAATTCATCCTGCCTAACTCGCAGTGAACATCCAATTTTCAGATGTCAGCCCTAGAGGTCCTTCTGCATGTTAGATAAGAAAGAGACAAAGCATCACAAAAGTCAGACACTCATACAAATACAGATGATGGGCGAGGAAAAGATGGAATGTCGAAATTTTACTTCTGGAGTTTATTTATGTTCAATGGATAACTTTTGTATGAAGTGTGTTAGAAGCTGCTGGAAAAATACACAGATGTGCATGTGTTTATCTGTATCCCCGCACAGAGAGTAAACAGATGCAGCCATATTTGCTCTTCATTGCCTAATTGGACAAAAATAAACAAGATTCTGAAGTAAACCACATACTGTAAGATGAGTGAAAGGTTAAATGTGCTGGATGAGAAGTAACTGTTACCATGGTAACTCCCATCCAGCGTTTTAGTCCGCATTGAACTAGCCTGTGCTGTGCCCGTAGTGCTCCTCTTGGTGGTCTCCCGCTGAGCCCACAATAAAGTCACCTTACACGTGCCGCTAACGTGTGACCAGACGATTTGACTGTTTATATTTTTACTAAACAGCTTTTCTTTATTACCAAGTCTCTAGCCCAGATCCAAACCAATGAAGAATTGGTGAGGAGATACATATTGTGAGAGTTAAGAGAATAATTCTTAGTTCAAAGTGGGAGAGATGGAAGGTACAGACACCCTTGACTGTGAACTGAGTGGCGCGATCAGTCTATACGGAAGCTTTGTACCATTTCTGGCACCTGACACTTGACACACATGGCAGTTTAAAGTGGATTCATGTTACTTAAAATATTTACAAATATGGCTATGATCTAGAGTTAACGCTTGGCTCAAAATTACCAAGTGTTAAGTGATCAGAAATTCGATCAATGTGTTCTGTCTCAGAGGGAAAAAGAAATCTGCATGAGTGTTATGCTGTAGTGCTTTGAAGAGAACTATAAATTCTGTGAAACGAAGCTGGGCGTGGTGGCACAAGCCTTTCATCCCAGCACCCAGAAGGCAGAGGCAGGCGATCCCTGAGTTCTGAGTTCGAGACCAGCCTGGTCTACAGAGAGAGTTTCAGAGCAGCCAAGGCTACACAAAGAAACCCTGTCTTGAAAAACGTGTGTCTGTGTGTGTGTGTGTGTGTGTGTGTGTGTGTGTGTGAGAGAGAGAGAGAGAGAGAGAGAGATTTCACATCACAGAAAAATGTGCACAAGAAAAAAAAGCTAGCAATAAAGAGGGAGTAGGGAGGATGCAGAAATTTGAGCAATATAAAATATAAATGAGGTCCACCTCCCCTTCCATCTGACCCTAGCCTATCAGGTCTCATCAGGACCTCCCCTATCAGTGAACTCTGAAAGGGGTATGGGAGGAGAAGAGGAAGGGAGGCAGGATTGGGAGGGGATGAGGGAGGTAGCTACAGCTGGGATACAAAATAAATAAATTTTAATAAGAAAAAAAATTTCAAAAAATAAATTTAAAACTGAGTAAAAGCTGCTTCAAAAATGAGTATAAAACAGAATATTTGTGAGCTACTACTTTAAACTGAGCACGTATAATCCTCAGGTTATCATTTATGGCTAACTTCAAGAAATACTAGTCGAAATTATTCTTTGAAAAGTTCAAAACATTTGAAGTTTTCCATATAGGAAAGAAGTTTCACATTATTTTGGCCAAATATATATATCTTTCCTCTTTAATCATCTGGGTTGAATTCACATGACTAATTTCTTTCTCAAGGCTGCTTCAATGAATTTTGAATTAAATAGAATAGAATGTATGCTGTTAATTGTCCTAAAGACTTCTGTGTCTATGCAGGTGGCAAAGATACTTACAAGATTAAAAAAGCAAAGAAAAGCCAGGCATGATTACACATGAGTAATCCCGGTACAGAAGAAACAGCGGCAGGACTGTGAATTCCAGGAGGAAGGAGAGGAGAAGGCAGTGTTGGCTAACTGGCTCTCATTTGCTGGCGAGCAGTTGCTGCATCATGGCGCTCTCACCTGCCTGCCTCTGAGCTGCCTCCACCTATTAAACTGTTCATTTCCATACAAAGCCTGCAGGCAGCTGAGGAGAGGACCACACCTTAGTCAATGGATCCTCAGAAAATACACAAGACTGATTAACAGTAATCCTGAAATGCTCCCTTTATGATCCTGTGAACCAGTTTGCTTTCTTTTTCAACTAGAAACCAAATTTTGAAAAATTTACACACATACGCACACAACTGCTATCGAGTATTTTAGAGGTCGTAATGTTCGCTAGTCAAATCACACTATGGTCAGTTTTGTGGCCCAAATAGCAAGGCTTGTTTTACATGTTTCACTACTGAGGGTTACGGGATGCCTGTCATTCCTCTCTGAGGTCCTGTGTCTTCTGAATCTCTAGGCTTGGATAAACTTTGATTTCCCAGCCAATCTAAACGGTTCACAGAGACGAGCTCGCACAGACCTAAAAGCAATAGAAAAGACAAATGCCAAAATATAGGTGAAAAACCTCCTCCCGGAAACCTGGAATTTTCTCTCTGTGTATGTCCTCTTTAGGAAGGGTTTCAAAAACTTGAGTGTATTCCTACAACAACCACTGAATTAGTTTTCACATGAGTTCATGCAACTAATTTAAATAGCCAAGGACTGAGACTTGTGGTTCGGCTCCCCCATAAATGGTCTTGTGACACACCTGGATTGCAGCAGCTGACCCCCAGCAGCTGGAGGAAAAGGGTGAGAGCAGCCAGAATCCCCACCAGCTCTGTGGCATTTTACACCTGATCTCAAACATTTTGCATCTGGCACTCTGCACTCCTTTGGAATTTACATAACCTTCATCCTCATACAATTGAAAACAAACAAACAAACAAACAAAACAGTACTTGTTACAAATTCTGTGTAGGAGACTGTGTGTAAACAGGCAGAGGCATCCCCCAACCCCTTCCTACAGCCTTTAAAATTTGATGACTGGCAAGAGCATTTTGTGCTTCTGTCTAAGTAGCAATCTCTCATCTATTCTACTTTATTCACTCAGGGACTAATTACCAACTTTTTCTATGAAGCGCATTTCGATAAGCTCACAGTGGGGCACTCACAATTTTTTCCCCCATCCTTATTGAGAAGTAAACCCTTAGGCCTTCTTGAATATATTACTGCGCTGACTTATGTCACTGGCAGAACTCAGCTCTCTCTGAAGATGAACCCTTGGCCTTTCTGGTCACTGTCACAGGAGAAAAAGCGACCTTGCTGCTTCATACACTTTCAAAGATGGGTCTTTCTCTGAGCGAGGGGCCTGGCAGGGACCCAGACTAAGCGTCTTTTCTGGAAATACAGTCTTTAACAGCAAAGTGGAGGGAGTGGGGGACTTCTTTTCCTTGAAGCCTTTGGAGGGATGACAGGCTGTAATATACAGCTACCGTCACATGCTTTGACTAAAGAGAGCCTTTGATGTGGGGAGGGGAAAGGACTTTCTGTAAGAAAGTTTTAAAAGAATTTGATGAATTTGAATAATTTGTATAAATAATTTTGTAAAAAGTGTGGGAGGTTGGACAGGAAGCTCTTGTATGACTAAAATTCACTCCTGAAAAGGTGGGGTGATAGGAGGGACATCTCGGGTGCAGGTGCCTAAAATGAGACTCTAGTCTCAGTCTCCAATAAACCCTGAAACCCAACATTCCCAACTCAGCTCTGTAACCCCTCTGCTGTGGTATAATTATGGCGGTATGCTTATTTACCAACTAGAACACACAACTGAAATGTCTTTAAGCAAATTAGTGACAAGAAACATAACCTTCCAGAGGGGCTGCACTCAAAACCAGGTACACCAGTGGCCCGTGACGCCTCTGGGGCCAAACAACCCTTTCACAGGGGTCACTTAAGACCGTCAGAAAACACAGACATTCACATTATGATTCACAGCAGTAGCAAAATTATAGCTGTGAAGTAGCAAAGCAAACAGTTTTATGGTTGGGGGTCACAACAATGAGGAACTGGATTAAAGGGTTGCAGCATTGGGAAGGTTGATACACACAAAATGCTCGCACTCTGTACATTTGTAGAAACTCAGGCTCTTACAACTTTGGGCCTTTATGGTCTAGAAAAGGCTCTATAGCATGCCTTCCCTTTTCATACACACACAGTGCATGAATTAACCCATTCAGGAGAGCCTGTGCTAGGCGGTGAAGATACAGGAACAGCAGCCCCTGTGTTAAGTAGCTCATTTAATGTGAGAGGCCGTAGGACCTTAGAACCACATTGGATGGACCCCT